GAGCTCACTCCTCTAATTAGGTCGAATGGGTTGTGACAGGAAATGCAAATCTGGGTCATCGCATATGCAGATGTGCATCTGGAGTCTCTGGATGCCAGCCGGGATGTCACCTCTGTCTTCTGGGAGTTTCCTCTGGGCAGCATGGCCTTCAGGGCACATCTCTGGGGTGGACAAGAGAGTGCTGGGGACTCCAGCCACTTACGATGGCTTCGCACCTAGTGTTTGCAGAGCAAGGACCCTAGGAGATCACCTCCTCCAAACTCTTCGCTGTCCCAGGGGGGAAACTGAGGCCTGGAGAGGGGAGGGGCCCTGCCCATGTCACCTCTCAGTGCAGCTGACTCTATGTGGTCAGGGAGTTCAGGTCTCAGCTCCCCACTGACCAGCTGTGAGGAGACTTAAGTCACAAAATCTGTGTAGGCAGCTAGTACAGTAACTGATGCATTGTAGGTGACTTTTTTGAGGGTGTGTGATTTCAGCTGCACTCACAAGTGACAGTGGCTGCATCACCAAGTCCCACAGCGCACCAGGTTGCTTTGAGCCCGTTCCATTGTGTCATTGGACACATGTGCCCTGAGCACTCGCTCTGGGCACGTGAGGGCCTCAGCTCAGGGGACATGGAGGGGACTAAGGGGTGCAGTTTTGGAGAGGCCCCTGTTCGGGGGACAGGGTGGGGCTCAGGTGACTGGAAGCAAGAAGCAAGAAGCCTAGACCTGGCCAGTCACGGGATCTTGAAGGAAAAGCCGAGGAGGAATCTGAGTTGGGAGTCCACACAGCATAGCGCAAAGGGCGTGGACTCTGGAGTCTCGGGTCCCAGGCTCAAATCCCTCCCATTACTCACTGCGAGGTCTGGAGCTGGTCACTGCCTCCCCTCTGAGCCTCAGTTTCCTAAAATGGCGATAACAGTGATGCCTACTCACAGGGTCGTGGGAAGTATTCTGCACGGTACCTGGCACACAGTAAGTGCTCAATAAATGCTTGTACTTTCTTACATGGGCACTTTGTATATAAGTAGGTTAATTGTTACTGAACGACTTACTAGACAGGCACTGGCATATGGTGGATAAGATTGTGGTCTTCCTCCTCCACCAGCCCTGCCTTCTGCTCAGCGCCCCCCTAGGAAGCATCTTCAAATCTCTCACCAGGAGAGGTAATTATGCCTCAAGACTTCAGAGCCAAGGTTGGCCCCACCGTTACCTTGCTGAGGGAAGGAGGCAGCAGGCTGTGAGCCTCGGACTTCCATCGCTCACTCCTGGCAGGCGGGTGCTGTTAGGGTCTCCTTGGCACAGAGCTGGGTCTGGGCAGGTTCAGAAAGGCATGGGTGAGGAGTAGCAGCTCAGGGCCCCTCTCTCCTGATCCACCCCCACTTGTCAGTAATAAAAACCACTGAGCACCTACTGTGTGCTGGGGGTGGTACTCAGCAATCTCACGTGATCCTTAAAGCAACCCTATAAGACAGGCATGCTTCTATACCTCTGCCTTACAAGGCAACTGAGACCCAGCAGCTTGTGTAATTGCCCAAGGTCACCAGTGAGCAACCCAGAAAATAGGCATAAGGAGATCTACATAAGGATGTTTATCGCAACGTTATTTGTAGTGATGAGAGACTAGAAACAAGCCTACCGTGGACTATATTTGGCAGTTATTTAAATCATTGTCAGTGGACAATATCCATCAGTTACTGAGAGAGGGGAAAGCAAGTCTTAGAGTAAAACGTTCACACCATTTTGTGGAGTTTTTTAAAGTTTATTTGAGAGCGCGTGCGCGCGCGCACACACACACACACACACACACACACACACACACACACACGTGAGTGGGGGAGGGGCAGAAAGAGAGGGAGAATCCCAAGCAGGGATCCGCACTCTCCGCGAGGAGCCCTGTGCGGGGCTTGAACTCACAAACCGTGAGATCATGACCCGAGCCGAAATCAAGAGTCGGATGCTTAACCGACTGAGCCACCCAGGCACCCCACGATTTTATGTTTTTCGAAAGTACACCATCTCCATATATGTGAATATTTGTTCACTGAACAAACATTTATTGAGTGCCTACAGCATGTCACATCGTTTTGGGGGGCATACCTTCTCGTGGTCGGGACACAAAGAAGATAACTAAGTAAAATATGGGATTTGGAATGCTGGAAGGTGAACACGAAGGGGGAAGAGTCGGAAGTGTGGAAGGGAGAGAAACGGTGAGGCATCCGAGGGTCATTCCAGGCAGAAGGCCCAGCGAGAACAAAAAAGGATAGTCCGTGTGGAAGGAGCGAAGTGACCAAGAGAAAGTCATAAAATAGCAAGGAGGCAGCGGTGTGAGGATGTGAGTGGGCAGAGCACGTGGGGTCTTAAAGGCTTCGTGGGTGGTTGTCGGGCGAGGACTTTGAGTTACCATAACAGGTTGCTAACTCTACTCACCTCGCCGCGATGGCGTGCTCTCCTCATCTTCGCCTGTTTCACAGTTCAAACTGAACACATTTCGTGTAGCAAAGAAAAAGAAGGAAAAACTCGAGGTTGATTGAGAGCAGACGTACTGAAACGGATGCCAGCCCCACAGGGCTCCGCAGGCTCCTTCCGGGGCTTATTTGTCTAAAAGTTGGTATTCGGGTGAAGGAGAGTTCCAGAAGGCAGCCCAATAAAGTTCCTGATCTTCCACCCTCTTGGATGCTTCCGGCCCAAGTCTGGAAGAGGCCTTTTCGCATCAGAAAATTCAGACACTTGTCCCTTCCTGCCTGGGTGGGGCTCTCTGTGCCTCTTGCCTCACCCTCACCCCCTAAAATGAACTCCACAGATGTTTCTGTCCCCCTTCTATATGTGAGACCCTGTCCTCACACCGCCACCCAGCCGGGGCGGGTCCCCAGTGGCGGTGACCCCCTGTCCCAGAGTGGCGCGAGGGGGCGGGTAGCAGGAGGAGGACGTATTTTGGCAGGCCAGTGCGGGGCAGACCTGAGCCAAGGCATCCTCGCCGTCCTCCCCTCCTCTTCCCCTTTCCAGGGCCCAAGAAGGCACCCCCTCCTCTCCTTCTCCCCAGAGCACTTTGCACGTGTGTTGCGGGGGGCGGGGGGTGGGGTGGCAAGGGGCTACGTGGCCACTGCTGCCTCACTGGGCAGCACCATCCCTGGGCAGGTCATACTGCTCAGTTGTGGGTTTCTGTGCTGGCCCCTGGAGAGTCACCGTGAAGTGTCTGGATCCCTCCTGTTGCCATAAAGGGGCCTGTTTATTCAAAGAAGGGGCTCGGAATGGTGAGACTGCAGATTTAATCTTGGTTTTCTCATCTCTTGGATGGGATTGGCTACCCCGGGAGGGGAAGTCACATCTTACAATGACTTGTAGGGTTAGGGTTGGGGCTGACACGTGGAGGGCCTTGGGGCCAGTGAGACCCAGCGGGGCCTCGCCCTAGCTGTGTGATCTTGGTGGGTCACTTCCTTCACACCTGCTCTGCTTGCTGGCTCCAGCCTGGGCACAAGGGCATCAGGAGTGAACAAGGTGGGCGAGGCCCTGGCCCCAGGGAGTCAGCTTTCTGGGAGTGCGGGACAGAAACAAGCAGATGATCGTGGGATCAGGTAATGAGGGGTGGTGCTAAGTGCCATGGGGGAAAGCAGCAGCCTCAGATTCTCATCTACAGAGTGGGGGTGTTGTGGTGTGGACAGCACCCAGGGGGCCGAAGGAGTCTCTGACAGTGAGGTTGGCATTCAAAGTCTCTCCGTGGCCTTGGAGGAGCACTGCTGGAGTTGCCGGGTTCTGGAAGGGGCCCCAGCTGCCCAGGGCCCGGCCCCTTACCACAGCCTGGCTACTGATACCCCTCTGCCCGTCTCCTCCAGAAGCACCCGAACACCCTGTCTTTTCGCTGCTCGCTGGCAGACTTCCAGATCGAGAAGAAGATAGGCCGAGGACAGTTCAGCGAGGTGTACAAGGCCACCTGCCTGCTGGACAGGAAGACAGTGGCTCTAAAGAAGGTGCAGGTGAGCCCATGGGGTCAAAACCACATCACGGGAGCCAGCTTTTGTGTCTAAACATTGTGGCCCTCGGCCAGTCCTCGACCCTTCCTCTGAAATCGGCACCCAGCTCACTGGGCTGTGGGAAGGATTAGGTGGGCTCCTGTTGATGAAGGCTCATCGTGAGCCTTAGAGGAAAAGGCAAATGAGCATGCATTGAGCACCACTGTATACCGGGTCATGTCTTGAGAACAGTCCTGTGGGTGAGGGCGGTCACCCCATTTCTCAGATCAGAAGAACCGCAGAGGCGTGAGTATCCATCTCACCGGGCCCACAGAGCGAGCTGAGGGGGAGCTCAACCTCTGACCCACACCGACTCAGCACTTGCTGGTCGCCTCTGGGTTTGAGAGCCTTTCCTGACCTCCGTGTCCCCCCGAAATGGAGGAGGGGGCTCAAGCAGATGGGTTGGCAGCCGCAGAGTCCTGCCAGGATGCGTTTCAGTGAGAGCCACTGGGCACGTTTGAACAGCACGTTGCCACAGAAGGTGGCTTTAAATCCCCCAGCAGAGTTTCCCGACCCCTCAGTTTGCTCATTTGTCCTTCGAGAATGAGCCTAACAGCCTGGGCAGAGGAGGGGACGCAGACGCAGCCACGGGTGGGGACCCAGGCGACAGATGGTTTCTTTGCTGGTCTGTAAACTGCACATGTGGCTCCGGGTCGCTGGAGGAGAGGCGGGCTCCTCTCTTTAGAAAAGGCCCATTTTCTGCTCTGATTTGTCTTCCAAGGAGGGGCTCGCCTGGCCCTCTTTGTCCTGCTTTTCTGTGCCATGTCGGGTTTTGTAGCGGGGACCTTCTGTTTGTTGCCGGGAGTCAGAAGGTATTCTGAGGGCCCACGGCGAACGGGCACTGAACGGGCCCCGGGGTGGCGGGGGGGGGAGGGTGTGCAGTGGCAGGTGCTGTGCTTACACCCTCTCACTCAGCCCACGTGACCACCTGGGAGGTCAGGCCAGGCTATTGGCCCCATTTCCAGAGGTGAAGACTGAGGCTCCAAGCACATTTCCTGGCCTCCCACTTGCCAGTGGGTGGCCTCAGCAAGTCACTGCATTTCTCGGTCTTTCTCTGTAAGTCGGCACCAGTAACCCCTGCCTCACGGGAGGATTCAGCCCAGAGCGCCTGGCGTAGGATGGGCACCCGGTAAACAGCCGTTGTGTTTATGGCGTCCCTCGGCGAGGAGGTGGGAGAGCCAGGGTGGGAGTTCCCATTCCTGTGGCTCCCGGTGGGGGTCCCGGGAGCTGGGTTTTGACCGCTCTCTCTCTTTTTCCTCTCACCCAAGATATTTGAGATGATGGACGCCAAAGCCAGGCAGGACTGCGTCAAGGAGATTGGCCTCCTAAAGGTGAGTGCCCTGGGCTGAGCAGGAGCCCCTTGCTTCCTTGCGGTGGCCTGGTCCCCACCCTGGGCCACCTGTTGGCTGTCACAGACCGCAGCCGGTTAGGTTCAGAAACAACACCCTTTTGAGGGTTAGTGGTCCATTTGTTTTCTCACGATTGGGTGGGCGTGGGCCCCACCTCACCTCTGCCCAGGCCTCATGGCGCCCCCAGACTGGCCGTCCTTGCCCCACACTGATTCCGTTTATGGACACCAGCACCTGGCACCAAAGTCCTTCCCCTGAGGGCACCAAATCACTGCCACCCGGGAGATGCCCCCACCCGAGGTGACTCAGCAAGGCCAGCCCGGGATGCAGGAGAGGATTCACAGCCAGTTGTCTGGCCCGGGGCTCCTGGTGCTGGAGGGTTGTCACCCTGTTAGCTCTTCCCAGACCTACCCAAACAGGAGGCTGGGGGGCGGGGGTGGTGGTATCTGTGTCCTTTCCTTTCTCCTCCCCGCTGGCTTCCTCCTTGGTCTCCCCAGAGTCAGAGACAACAGAACTCTCTGGACTAGACTCGCCCCCAGACTAGGGCTGCTTTCTCCTGGAGATCCCTCCCTACTCCCCAGGCTTGGGATTCTGCCTGGGGTCTCACAGGTGGTGGAGGAGGAGGAATGTTCCGCGTATCGGGGGCCCAGGAGCCTAGGTTCAAATCCTCATGTCTTCATTTACAAGCTGTGTGACCTTAAGCAAGTGCCTTAGCCTCCGGGAGCCTCAGTTTGCCCATCTGCTCAGTGGTGAGAATACCTGCCTCACGGGATACGGGCAGTTGGAGAAGATGAGGTAAAATAATATCCGAGGAGGGCCCAGCACAGTGGAGCACACAGTAGGTCCTCCCCTTTCAGGAGACAGAGGGCTTGCTCCACACCTTCCGGTAAAGTGGGGCTGCAACGATGCAACGTTCCGCAACGATGCGGAAGCCCCACTGTGGGATTTCTGGTTAGCGGTTTACACTGCCGGGTCTGCCCTGGGCTCTCAGGCCTGGTCCCTGCCTGCCCTCAGCCGCTTCCAGGCAGCAGCCGGTGTGCCTGTGTGAGGGATGCCGGCTGACCCAGGGCCCAAGGAGGGCAGGGTCCTGTCCCAGACTCTGGAAGGCTGGGGGATCCCCGCAGTGTGGAATTGGGGAGCCAGGTGGTGGCGGCCTCGGTCACCACCCTTGGGATGTGGGACTCGAACACGGGAACGGGGAGGCCCCTGAAGTGGCTGAGAGCAGGGGGGGATGCGGCCTGATATGATTTGTAACCCTGCCTTTGATGGGTGCCAGGGAGGCTTACAGGGAGGTGTCCTTAACTCCAACTGTTACAGGCCCAAAAATCCCCTTCGGATAACCTTTTTAAAGTTTTACCTTAGCAGTCGACTTTGGGACCCAGGTGTGGTCTCAGGACTCAGACTGATTTCCCAGCCCTGGGACCTGCTGTCATGGTCACCCACCCTCTCTCCTCTCTTGTGGCCAAGAATGCACATGTGCCATTCACAATGAGTAAGGAATTGTACGTGTGTTCGTACCGAGCCAGCTTGTTCTGGGTCCCTGGGCTTCATTGAAGTCATAGGTGAGGCTTGGTGCGACCTGGGCCTATTCCGGGGGCTTCCTCAGGCTGCAGTGTGGCCGTGTGCCATTGACCATGGCTCTGGAAGTGGGCATACCCCTTACTCACTAGCTATGTGGCTGTAGGCAAGCTGTTGACCACTCACGGCCTCCGTTTTGTCATCTGTAGAAGGGAGTGATGATAACAGGACTGTCCTCAGGTGCCGGGGGAATTAGAAACTGGGTTGGAAGGGCTCAGTGTAGCATCTGTTGTGTGTAAGTGCTCGGTCACAGGCAGCCCTTGTCATCGTGGTCACAACCTCTGCCGCTCACCGCCAGCCCTTTTCCAGAACGCCGATCCAGCTCCCCGCCTGCCCAGAGGAAGTCAACAGGATGCGCCAGGGCGTGAGGTGTTTCCTGCAAAACAAAGGGAACCACAGTTCTCAGTGGGCCCACTGGGCAACCTCATTCACGTCATTCATGCCAGGACCCGAACCCCAAAACCTCCCAGTGCAGAGGCCCCCCCCCCCGCCAGACGTGGGGCGGGAAGGCGGACCCTGTCGGAACACGGGCAGAGATCATGTGTTCATATAGTCAGCACAGTTTTGAGCAGCACTGAGTGCTGGGCACAAGGTTGCAGCCAGCAGGGAAGACAGATCCTCACAGACTGCCATGTCACGTCCCAGCGGGGCCACGAGTGGGACGGAGCAAAGCCCCTGGCGGCAGAGATTCAAGGGGGGGGGTGGGGGGACCTGAGCCCTTTACTGTCACCTCTGCCTTCCTTCCGTCTGGCCATCTGTCCGTCGTCCATCCCTCGGCAGCCAGTACAACCGCCAGGCATGGCGCGGGACCTCGGGGACAGCCCCACCCTGTGGAGCTCCAGGTCGTGAGAGAGAGAGAGACATGGGCGTGGATTGTCGGGACGCCAGAGAGCTAGAGGGTGGCCGATGCTGCCAGGAGGAGCTGCACTGGAGATGAATCTTGAGGTGTTACTTACCTGAACCCTAGATACACGAAGCCAAAGCAGCTACCCCTCCCCCGCTCACAAACCATGAAACCCCACCACTCGCATCTTTGGAGCACTTCCTACATCCTTGGCCCAGGTGTGTCCCCTTTGAGACACGCCTGAGCTCCCCAACAGGCTGCAGGCTCAGAAGGGGACTCTGGGTGGACAGCAGTCCTCGGTTACTGGACGAGGTTCTGGACCCAGCTTCGTCCTCTAGAGTCAGTCCCTTCCCTCTCCAGGCCTCGGGGATTGCCCCCAGCTGACCTCTGGGGGTCCCTTTTTGCCCCAGCCTGTACCTTTGTAGCCTGGCGGGGTATTCGAGGGAGCCCTTACGTCACCTGCCCTCCTCAGGCCTGCCCTGGGAGCAGGGAGAGAGGCCTCCCCCTCCTCCCCCCAGGAGCCAGCACCTCGAGGTAACAGCCCCCTTGACTGAAGCTTTCATTCCCACCCAAACCCTCTCCAGTCTTCCCAAGTCATTTGAAAAACTGTGTTGCCCAGTCTGCTGATGACCTTGGTGGGTGTCGGGGAGGCCTCCCTGGGAGGATGTAAGGTTCCCCCGGGGAGGTGGGGAGGTGGGGAGGTGAGCTCCAAGAGTGGGCTGAAAGAGCAGGGGACTCTCGTTTATAATAACAACAGCGCTGGCACGTCATAAGGTGCATTCGAGACTTCAAAGCGTTTTCAACTTGATCAAGTGCCAGCATTCCACTCGCTTTGATATTTTTTTTGGTAAATGGAAAATATCAGCTGATGTGATGGCCAGCGTTCGCTCCGGGAAGGCCTCAAAACAAAATCCGGGTAAAGGTGACTTTTGACGAAGGCACCACAACAGTTCAGTGGACGAAGGAAAGACTCTTAATCCAGATGCTGGGAAAACTGGACGTCCAAAGGGACAGAAGTGAGCCTTGACCGCTGCCTCACACTGTACATAAAAATTTATTTGAAACGGATCATAGCCCTAAATGTAGAGGCTAAGACTATAATCATGCTGTTTGCTGTGCTGACAAAGGGGGTGAGGCCCAGGACAGGGGGCCTGAGGGCCCGGACAGGCAGTGGACATCAGGATAGAGTGGAGTTGAGGGAGGGGCAGACACATGGCCAGCGACAGAGGCCACCTGTGACTTCTGATTGAGGGGTGTCTGCGCACCCAGACCTGGCTTGGGAAAAGAACAAATGGCAGATAGCACAGCCATGTGATGTCTGCCAAGGTCCCCCTCATTTTAGAATCCGAAGACAGGCACAGGTCGGCACACAGCACAGATCCGCACCCCTCTCACAGCAACTTCCAGGTCTTCTAGAAAATGTGTGCGACGGTGGCCTCTGCTTGTCTGCTGACAGCCGCCCCCGTGGACTTGGCCGACCAAGCCCTGGCAGAATATTTGAGTCCCCTCTGCTTTCCCAGACTCTGGAATCATCTGGTGGAAACAGTCAGTCTGAGTTACAAAAAGTTGCCAAGGTCTGTCCCCTCTTAGCCAGGCGGGGGCTGACTTCCAGCTGGTGGGGAGCTGTCCTGTCTGGAAAGCACGTGGGCCATGGTGGTCAGGCCAGAGGCAGGGCTTCAGCATGGAGCACGCCAGGAACTGTTGGGTTTTTTTTCAGGATTTCACAAGGATGTGTCAAAATGAGAGGAGGGAGGAAGAAGGGAGATGGGCGCACTTGGGAGCACCGGCACAGGCCTGCTGAGCACAGCAATAGGGCGGTGGGGGCCCAGCCCTGCTGCCGAGGGTCACAGGTGGTGAGGAGGAGGAGGAGGAGGAGGAGGATCCTGTCCACAGGTGTCCATGGAGTCTCAGGTCCAGGCAGTCACCAAGTTAGACATTGTGTTAGAGGCCTCAGCGCATCTAATGCTCACTACTACTCATGAATACATTATGCCCATCGTCGAGATGGGGAAACTGAGACTCAGAGATGCAGAAAGGCATTCCCAGTGTTGCCTGGGTCTGCCTGACTCCCAAGCACAGGCCTTTCCCCCAAGACACTCCCCTGTGTAGCAAAGCCAGGGCCCTGCTAATGAATACGTGCTGTGAGCCAGCACGGGGCAGGCGCAAGGCTGGACCGGCCCTCATGGGTTCTGCCTCCCCCTCTTTCTCTCTCTTTGGACAGCAACTAAACCATCCCAACATCATCAAGTATTTGGACTCGTTTATTGAGGACAACGAGCTGAACATTGTGCTGGAGCTGGCCGATGCGGGTGACCTCTCGCAGATGATCAAGGTGAGTGAGGCCGGCAGGCAGGCCGGCCCCGGGGGCCGTCCAGACACAGGGAGCCCAGGATCAGGCAGCCCCTCGGCCTGGAGTCTTTGCTGCTGTGGCCTCGGGTGGAGGCTGTCCACCAGGGCCACTCAGCCTCCCTGGCCAGTGCCTCACAACCTCAGCCTGGAGGGTGCCCGCTCGGGCTCTGGGAGAGGGTCAGCCATGGACAGAAAGCACGTCTCTGGCTGTCCCCACTGCCCCAGGCTGCCCACAGGCTGCCTCACGGTAGAGACAGGGATAGAACCCCATGTTAGGTCAGACCCCAGCTCACAGAATCTGGGAAAAGGTGTTGTGCGTCTAACTTTCCAAAGGGAGAACTAAGCCCAGAAAGGCTAAGAGACTTACCCGAGGATACCCAGTAACATGGGGGATAGCGCCGTGCCTGTGTGGTGCTGCTCTCTGTTTCCTAGCCAGGGCCTCCAGGCATCAGCACCCAAGTGATCCCCCTGGGGTCTCTGAGAGGTTGAATGACTTACCAGGTCTGGCTCTTGCTCTGTGTCCCACGGCAGCCCCCATACTGCCCTGCCCCCATTGCCCCCCATCCTGAGACCCAGGCCCAGGCCCAGGCCCACCGAGAGTCTGGACTCAGGAACCATCACAGCTCCATCGCTGGAGCACCTCCTGTGAGCCACAACCGTGCTGAGCACACACATCACTCACTAAGCACACACCGTCCTCAGCAGAGCTCAGAGAGGTTTAGTTGCCTGCCTGAGGCCACACAGCCTCTCTGTGGGACCCCCAAGCCCCAGCCCTCAGCCCCCCACCCCGCTCTGTGCTCCTCCCTCAAGGCCCTGACTCCCCTGCTGGCTTGACCAGCCTGCAGGCTGTTGGCCATGGGCCCCCACCGCCTCCTTTCCCCAGCCCAGTCCATCTGCTTCTGAGCGAGGCCAGCTACACCGGAGCCCCCACCTTGCTCCCAGCAACACTTGCAAAAGGGGCCAGACATGGGTTCTCCGTCTTTCCCACCAGGCGCTGGGGATTGAGCAATTGCTCAGCGCTTGCTCTTCTGAAATCTGGCTCCTAGGAATTCGGGCGTCGTTGGGAAGCGGCATTACTTGAGCTGTTATCACCTGCTTTTATATTTTCGTTGACATATTAATGTGTTTGCCGGGATGTTAATCTCCACACAGATCCCTGGTGGGAACAGATGTGCTCTATCATGTCTTAGTTCTTCCTTCTCCCCCCACCCCCCCCCACCCCGTGTTTCTCCTTCACATGTCGTTCTCTTGCGGAACACACA